AGTAAAAGAGAACTATGCAATTAGATTATATATTGAAAGGCAGATATTTCCATTCGTCGAATCCATTCTAGACAGCATCAATGCGATATCGAAAAAATTCATTGAGATATTTAATGAGATTGAAAAGAAGAAAGATTTAAATACAAGCTAGTACAAGTACGCGAGATTCTTCCCTACAAGAAAGCTACAAGATATTATCAGTAAGTTTTATATTGCAATTTTTAATAAGCAATTTTTATACGTTTGTGCTTGGATCTTTGACATTTCCATGTAGAAGTTGTCCATTAGAAACTTTAATAGTTTCTTAACATTACACTTTGCAGGACCTTATTCGTACGGATCAAGGATTATTAAATGTATTTGGAGTATCATGTCGAGACCTCGATGTTATTTCTACAATTGCGCAAAATTTTTCACTAAACGAGAAGACAGCATTTATAATCAAACTTAATTACGCGTTTATTTTATTGGATATCATAGATGAAGACGTCAACAAACTCGTAAATGATTTAAAATCGCGTAATCTTGTTATTATAATAACCAGTTTGTGCGGAGATTGGAGCGGCATAAGAGTAGAATAGTATAATGAAATTAACAACAATAAGCAACTAAAGTAAAATACAAAAAAAAGTTTTGTATGATATCGTACGTTAATTAATTATTGAAACTTTTTTTTATTGAACTCTTTTTATGAAATTAATAAGATTAATGAAATAAGATGAGATAATTTATATTAATATGTAACAGATATGTCTTTTATTATATTATTGTATTGCCAGTAATATAGTGATATTTCAGATTTATTATAGGATATCTGATTTTAAATCTGATTTTACATTTAATTATCTTAAAAAAAGCATTTTCTAAAGAAAAAGAAAATATTTTAAGATAGCATTGTAGAATTTTGTAGAGAGCTTATAATTATGATACAATTACGATATAATTATGATATTGATTGATTTTTGAAAAATTTTTTGAAAATCACATTATATAATTTTTTTTATTGAATTATTTAAATTTTTTTTGTCAATGAGTTCAGTATCTCTTAAAGTTTGACCAGTAATATATAGAGTATTTTTAAAATATTTTACATATTAATACAATGATTAAACAATATTTTTTGCATCTAACATGTAGTAATTATTTTTTATACATATATTTGTTCCTCATTTGTGTAAATCTATCCAAATTCAATTGTGAATCAACGAATGCTATATTATTTTATTGTTCTTGATTATTAATTAATTATTTCATTGTTTTATATAAGGATTAAAATTATTAATTTTTTAATTTATTAAACTGACTTTAGTATTTTGTCAAAACGTACGAAGAAATTGCAAGAAATTTATTTGCAAGATGAGATATCTTTGATAAATTTATATTCAAAACTTAATTATTAAAACATTTAATATTTGCACTGTAATATTTGTAATTAATAAAATCTTTATACGCAAAATAATTATTTTGTATTGTCAAAACAAGTCATTTTTTTATTTATTATTACATTGCAGAAATTTTATATCTGATTTCCTTTTCTTTCTCATAAATTTAGGAACTAGGAAGATATAAAAATTCAGTTCTTTATTTCGAGATGAGATTCTCTTGTAAGATTTTTACTAAAACTGATAATTTTAAACTCTTAACATGAATATTTACATGTACATGTGGATTATAGCGCAACTGAACTCTAATTTGATCTAATTTGATTTAAAATAAATCGAGTACTGTAAAGATATTAAGAACGTTTATATTTATGTTTATGTATCTATGCTATTTTAATCGCCAGTTGAATTGAAAAGAAATTGTTATTTTCTGTGATATTGTTCTGAGAAAGATATTGTCGACAGTATACTGTATATTAAGGAAGGTGATAGATCAATCTAAAAATTGATTGCAAAATATCTAACTGCCAAGTTTTTCTTGATTTGTTTCAAAAAGATTTATTTTTCTTTTCTGTATTACAGGTACATTACAGGTAACATATCATTTTTAGATTGTTTAAATTAAATGATACCTAATATTAGATTATATATGGATACCTAATATTAGATTATATATGTATTATTATATCTTACTATTAAAAAGTTAATAGCAACTTTACAACAAAAAGCTTTTATAACCAAAACTTTTTAATTCAATCAAACTTGGCCACAGAAAGAAGAGAAAAAGATTCGCTACAGCGCAAGAAAAAAGTAAGACACTAATTTTTGAATCTTACTAGATTTTTTTATGCATGACAATCGATAATATATTGACGGATTTTTTTAGTCGCTTTCGGCGTTCTTTACGGTGTTTATTATTTATGTAAATACATAAGAGACAAATATCAATATACGAAAATCTTCTCACTTTAATATTTATCTGCTCAAAAATCATAGGTATATACAAATTGATTTTACGATGATTTATTACTCGATATTAGAAGAGAATTTTTCAAATAATAAATAATATTTTTTTTATAAAGGCATGTACAAATTCAGTATATCAGCCCCGGGTTCATTGTTTTTACTTGGAGAACACATGAAAATGCATGAAAATAAGAAAGCCTTCGTGATGACCAGCTTAAATATGCGTACCAAGCTTACGTTTACCTCGCTACCTCCAAATGCAGTCAAGATGGATTTTATCGAGCTGATTTTCCCCAATATCCAATTACACATGAAGATACCTTTAAATCCATTTCTTTTTCACTTTTTTAATAATAATACCGACAAAACAATCGGTGCACATACCTTGTATGAGAAAGTAAAAATTTATGTTAGCTCGTTAATGGGAAATAATAACACATGCGATCTCATACTCGGCCAACACGAATCAAGTTTACAAACATTTTTCTTTCTGCTCGTTTATATCGCGTATCGACATATTATTAAAATAACAGCATCTTTTATTGTAAAAATATCGTCAGACCTGCCGATCGGCGAGGGTATGGGCAGTTCGACATCATTCGGGACATGTCTCGCGGCATGCTTTTGGCGTTGGTCGCTTTTACAAAAAGGAATTGCACGTTACGAATTCCACGCAGAAGATACCTCGGTGATATCAGGTTGTGTAGCGATTTGCGAAAGAATCGTATATAAATCTACGACATCATTCAACATCGTCGTATCTGTGCATGGCTCATTATTAATACTTAAACAGAATTCAATGATAAAAAAATATGATCATTTTCCGAGTATAAAGATTCTATTGGTCTGCTCAAATGTTAAGCAAAAAGACGTGCAAATGCACGTAGATACGAGGCACTCACAAGAATTCGCCCTAAATAACATCAGCGCTTTAGCAAAAGCATCTATTAAAGTATTTAAAGAGATTAAAAAAATGGTAACTGATTTAGGACAAGTTGCTTTGGATGATCCATCGAATCTTACTCTACGGACATTATCAGTAAGTCTTATTCTGCAAATTTTAATAATGTCTTACATATAGTCTTTTTTTCGTGGAAGTTTTTTTAAGCTTTTTTCGTGACTGTTTCCCGACTGTTTACGCAGCTATCTATATTAAAAATTTTAATTATATTTTAATCTGTCTTTGTAGGATATCGTTCGTATAAATCAAGAATTATTAAATTCACTTGGAATATCACATCCCAATCTAGATATTATCTGTGCAATTGCACAGAATCATTCGCTAAGCGGAAAGATGGCGTGTTTGAATAAATATGGATATGCATTTATTTTATTATTGCCGAGCGTTACAGACGATGACATTGCCAAACTTATAGATGAATTAAAATCGCATAATTTTGATGCTTCGATAACTAGTTTATGTGGAGAATCGAGCGGAGTGAGAGTTGAATAGTATTAGGTTGGAGGGAGGGGTTGAAATTATTAACTTAATTTAAGCGAAATACGAAAAACGAACAATGTATTAACAATACCAAAAAAAAAAAAAAACGTGAAACGTAGATAGATGAACGTAGATAGGTTTATTTGATATATCTTTTAAGATTTACGCAACTTTATATATTTCGGCGCAACGATAAATATATTCTTAAAGTTTTTCCAGCTGTACATTTATTAATATAAAGAATTAAATTATAATATTTTTTTATATTTCAAATATACATAGTTACCTTTTTCTTTTACCTTTTTCTTTATACCTGTACATGTTATGTGTTTGCCAATCTATTTAAATCTATCTATAACAAGCGCTTTATTGCTTTGCTTCATTTCTTATATTAGATGTTTTTCATAATGACTGAAATGATTGAATTTTGCATCAATAAGTCAACTATAGAAATTATCGAAACAAAAAAATAATAAATATATAAATATATATTAAATTATTTACTAGAAAAAAAGCCTTTTGTATATTTTTATACAGGATTTCTAATGGTTGTGTGCAAGTAAAGCGAGTTAAAGTAGGCCGAGCGAAGATGCGCTTATTCTATAATTTTTAATAATTAATAACTTGTTGCTAATTGTGAAAATCACAAAATGGATTTTTCCTTGATCCATTCTGTGTGCACACAAGCGGTATATTATTAAGAATCAAATGCCTTGTATTTAGAATTCAATTATTGAAACATTTATTATTAAGTTTCTGATTAAAAGTTTAATCTATTATTTAAATATATGATACTGTGATATTAAGGCATTTTTTTCGTAGTAATCATATCGGAGAAGTTTTAGTTCTATACATATTCTCTCTTCTCTCGAATTAGGAATTCAATGCAGAAATGTGTCTTCATTTGGAGATATATTTTTAGAAGGTTTTTATTAAAAAAAATAATTTATATTTTATATTTGTTATATGAATATTTATTTGTACATATAAATCAAATATGTTTTAATTTAACTATTATTTAGATCAAGTTGAATGCTACAACAATATCAGAAACTGTTTATATTTACGTTTATCTTTAACTTCGTATTTATGAGTGTATAGGTGCGTGTCATTTTAACATAAATATTATTAAACTTATGTCACGAAAAGACATTGTTCTCCTTTCTTAGTATATCAATTGCTGGCAAAACGTGGTCCGTAGATTGTTGCAGGTTAAGGACGATGATTCAGTTTAATAATTACTAAATATTTAATCGTCAAGTTTTAATTATTTTTGATTATTTTATTTCAAGGAAAATCTTTTTAACAACATAACAATATCTTTTTAACAACCTAACGTTGTGATATAATATATCATTCTCAGGTTATATATAGGTATGTATTATAAAAATCACATAAAAATCATGACAAAATGTTTCTATAACTGAACATGTTTAAACGCAGAGAAACTCGAGGAAATATCCAATAACATAAAAAAATTGATAAGCACATATTGAATGTACATTTTTTACGTATGACAGTTAATAACTAATTGATGACGAAATATTCTTGTCACATACAGTGCTATACGATTTTTAATTCATACAAGATAAAAAAGTAATTATTTTCGTAAATATCATTTGCGGACAGCCTTCTCACTTTAATATTTATCTGCGAAAATCAATCAGGTATGCAATTTAATTTTTAAACAATTACTCGACATTATTATTTTTTATATTCGACATTCGAATGTTATTTTTTTCATAATAGGCATGTACAAGTTCAATATATCCGCACCTGCCACAGTGTTCTTACATGGAGACTTCATGGAAAACTATGATAAAACTTCTATTGCAGCCGGCTTAAACATACGTACCAAGCTTACGTTCTCCTCGTTACCACCAAACGCAGTTAAAGTGGATTTTATCGAACTGAATTTCTCGCGTATTAAATTACACATAAAGATACCTCTAACAACATACCTTCAACATTTTAATCAAATTGAATCCGCAGAATTTATCGAGGAGATACAAGTATTCAGAAAAATACAAACGTTTGTTAATTCATTGGTGATAGATTGTGACACCTACGATTACAACAACCTTGAACATTTTTTAAGTTTACAAGCTTTCTTTTTCTTGCTTGTTTTAATCGCTCATCGCGATTCTATCAAGATAACAGCATCTTTTGTTGTGAAAATTTCATCAGAATTGCCCATCGGTAACGGTTTGGGCAGTTCGGCATCGTTCGCGGTGTGTCTTGCGGCATGCTTTTGGCGATGGTCTCTTTTACAGAAGGGAAAATGTATTTATGAATTTGACGAGCGAGATCGTTTGAAGATCGGATACTATTCTGACATTTGCGATGATTTTATATTCAATTCTTCAACCAGGATCAACGTCAACGTATCCGTTAATGGTTCAATAAGCATATATAACAACGGGTGCCTGACGAAAACATATGATGATTTTCCAAGCATAAAGATTTTGCTGGTTTCCTCGAATGTTAAACAGGAAAGCGTACAAAATAGACAATTTGATATAATGAGAGATTCGTGTTCGATAATCAACCCCATTTTGGATAACATCAATGTATTATCAAACATAGCTGTTGATTATCTTCAATCAATTGGAGGAAGAGTTATATCTAACT